GGTTATCATTATCATTACTTTTATTATCATTATGACTATGAATGCAATAGTAGCTGTGTTATCATTATCTTTATTATTTTTCTTTAATTACATATATTTTTTTTTTTAATTCATGGTTGTGAATCCCAAAGAAATGCAGATCGAGAAGCTAAGATGAAGTTATCTTGACACTATAAATAACTTCTAAATAAAAAGAAGAAAAACAAGAAAAAAAAAACAGAGAAATCACAAGCACAGTCTCGCCGCTCACATCATCAGGCTACATCTGGCAACGTCGGTGGCGAAATTTCTGTGACGTCACGAGCTGCCTCCGGAAAAGGGAAATAAAAAACTGTGGCGTATGCCCTCCGAGAGCATGTCTCGAAAGGGGGAGAGGGGAGGGCACGGAGGGAGGGAGGGAGGGAGACAGAGAGAGAGATAGAGAGAGAGAAAGAAAGAGAGGAGAGAGAGAGAGAGAGAGAGAGAGAGAGAGATAGGAGGGAGGGAGAGAGAGAGAGAGAGAGAGAGAGAGAGAGAGGAGAGAGAGGAGAGAGAGAGAGAGAGAGAGAGAGAGAGGAAGAGAGAGAGAGAGAGAGGATAGAGAAAGAGAGAGAGAGAGAGAGAAAGGGAGAGAGGTGTAGCAGAGGAAATATGGTAAAGAAAAAAGAGAGAGAGAGAGAGAGAGAGAGAGAGAGAGAGAGAGAGAGAGAGAGAGAGAGAGAGAGAGAGAGAGAGAGAGAGAGAAGAGAGAGAGAGAGAAGAAAGAGAAGAGAGAAAGAAGGAAGAAAAAAAACAAAACAAAGGAAAGCCAATAGCAGCGAGAGAGAAAGAAAGAGTTCAAGCAAAAAGAAAGAAAGAGGCAGAGAATGAAAGTGCGAATAAGACAGGCATAGCAAACATCTTTGATAAACACGCACATGACACTCAGAATAAGCGAGAGACGTACAGGTATGTATCTACTTTACGTTTCTCTTATTCTTCATCCCCCACAAAAAAAACATCTTGAAAAATATCTTTCGTCTTTCTTTAAAGTCTCAAATATATGTTCTCTTTTCCATTATTCATATAAATAAAAACTACGTATATATCATGACGCCACAAACTGAGATGTTCGGTGATTCATAGACGGTGATGCCACACATCCCTCGAAAAAAAGTGAAAATCATGTCACTTTATGAGACAAGTCGAGATGAGAGAAGAGAGGTTGCCAGTGCTATTTTGAGGCAGATTAAGAATTTTTAAAGTGTTTTGTAGGGATACATATATGCGTACAACGCATATATGGTATATATGAACATAAACTTTCTTTTATCTGTACATAGTCTCTCTCTCTCTCTCTCTCTTCTAACATCAACTTCTCTCCCCTCCCTCTCTCTCTCTCTCTCTCTCTCTCTCTCTCTCTCTCTCTCCTCTCTCTCTCTCTCTCTCCTCTCTCTCTCTTCTCTCTCTCTCTCTCTCTCTCTTTTCTCTATCTCCATCTTTCGTCTCTTTCTGTAAACCCATCTTTCCCTGCATTTCTTGTCATGGCAACGAGCCAGGAAAACCGGACCCCATTTTCCCAAGCAGTCGCGCTCTCTCCCTATCTGGTATGAAAGTACACATAATACAATTTAAATTTTCCTTTTTTCCTAGTGAATGACGTCCGTTGCAATACTTGTCCTCATTGCTCGTGTGAGGACGAACCAACGTTTGAAGAATTGGGGGGGGGGCGGGGGGTGTCTACCCCTCGACGGCAGGATGCTAAGCGCCAGCCTTAATATCTAATTGTTATATCCTGTCTGTATTTCTTGGGATCTTTGAAGGAGCAATATCCTCTTGGTTCTCACTCATCCTGCGTGACGAGGGATCTGCTCTCAAGTATTTCGGGGCGGGTTTTGGGGGAGAGAGATGGGGCGAGACGGATAGATACATAGATAGGTAAAGGGAGGAAGGGAGGGAAAGAGGAAAGGGAATGGGAAAGGAGGAATGGTGAGAGAGAGAAAGAGAGAGAGATGAAGAGAGAGAGAGAGAGAGAGAGAGAGAGAGAGAGAGAGAGAGAGAGAGAGAGAGAAGGAGAGAGAGAGAGAGAGAGAGAGAGAGAGAGGAGAGGAGAGAGAGAGAGAGAAGGGGAGGGGAGACAACGAGAATCCTTAGAAATAATCAATAATTTCGATAAACTTCGCCAGTTTTAGAAATCTGACAATTCCTCATAAATTTCCGACATTCATGATACCGCAGACTCCTCTACCCCCAAACTATGCCGCTGTTCATCTCGAAATGAGTCCGAGACGATGGTCGTCTTACCTTCAGGAACGGCAACACCAAGCAGGCGATTTTCATTTCGTACCCCGCGAGTTGCTAGCGACTGAATTTACGTGAATATTATTTCAGAGATCGTTTCGGTGTCAAGTTTTCATTGTTTTTCTGCAAGAGAGAATTTGAAGAAAAGAGATTAAGTGACTATGAAAGGGCTGCGAGTTAGGATGTACTTGATGTTTTTAAAAATCATTTAGTGTTAGACTAGCAGGCATCTCCCGCGAGCTAGCGGGCACCCGTGATGCAATATATATACTCAGCCTTCAGAAGAAAAGCTTGCAGTTTGCCGAGTAAGACCAAGGTGTACGTAACGTGTCTTGGAGCAGCGGCCGCCAGTGTTACATATAGATATAATACAAACAGTATAAAAGAAAAGAAAGTGCAAAGTAAACTAAAGCTATTCGAGAGTGCATCATCCACAATGGATAAATTGATTTACGCCACAGTCGTCCTCGTTCACCTGTGCTCACCTGGACTGACCAAGGAGACCACGTCCCACGGAGCGCTTCAGATGTTCAGCTCCGTCAACGCCCCCGCCAAACAGGTACTGGGAAATGGAATCGCAAAAAAAGCTGTAATGACACGTTGCAGCTGACCGTCTGCAGTCGCAATATGTCGTCAAAGTTTAGAGGAAATTGGAATACACTTTTTTGGTGTGATGGTAATGTTAAAAGCTAGTCAGCTGTTCAGTGGTAATCTTATAATCAGCTATATTACGATTTAGTGAAAAAAATAAATAATAGATGTAAACGCCGAAGGTATACATTTCTCACACGCATGAACCATTATCCTGTGCAATAGAGCATGTAAGCGAAATAAGACCTCTCTGGCACAAGGATAAAAGGCTAAATTTGCTGGTTGTCCCCGGGGTAGTGGCGGAAGGGCGCCCTCTGCTCGCCACAGGGACCTTTTGCCTCCCGGAACTCCGACTGGTGCTCAGACTGGTAGTGTTGTGTCTATTGTGATGAAGGTGAAAATTCCGTGGCATCTGTGAGGGCAGGATTTAGCATAGTCTTTTAAATAAGCGATTTTAAGTGTCGTTCTAATGTTGTTTTTTTGTTATTATTTACTTCAGAAATCTTTGAGGTTTATGAAATACTTTTTTTTTTGTCTTCCCTTAAGAAATTGTTTAAAAAGGTAAGGGAATGCTCACTGGTCCTCCAAACTTTAAATAAGGGAAAGATATAAAAGTAAAAGAAAAAAAAAACTAATTTGCAAATAAGTGGAAGCTTGCTAATCATGAAAATTCCCAAAACAATGTATTTGTCAGTATGAATCAGCATTTATCACAAGACCATTTTGAATGTCGCTTGTTTATCACACCATTAAATAAACTGTGTGTGATGTGTGTGGTGTGTGTGTGTGTGTGTGTGTGTGTGTGTGTGTGGTGTGTGTGTGTGTGTGTGTGTGTGTGTGTGTGTGTCTGTGTGTGTGTGCTGTAGACAGATAGATAGATCTGTTCTTATGAATTAACATATATTATATTCACTTATACAGGTCATCACATCAAATCGAAGTGTATAATTAGGAAACAGTTCCTTACAGACATTTCTGTTTAAATCATAAGGTTGATAACGTTAGACGGTTAATAAATCAAAGTTATAAACATTATATCTAATGATCCCTGGAAAAAAAGTAGAACATAATCTTGGCGGCGATGGTAACAAATATTAGATGACAAAACTAATGTTGATGGTAGGGAGAAGGATAGGATATATAATAGAAGAGATCAATGACATGAAGTCAACACAAGGCCCTGAGTGGCACCTGAGTCTCGGCATCAGTGCCATAAGTTCGCTTAGGGATTCGCATCCTCTTCCTTACGCTGCGCTTTTGTTTTTTTGTTTTTTTTTTGCGCTTATTTTATTGCGTTTGTTGATTACTTCTTTATTTTGTTTACGATTTGTTTTCTAATGCATGCGTGTTTAGATGCAACGATGTATATCAGTACGATATTGTATAATTATTACATTGTTAATGACATTGCGCTGTGGAATATTTTAATATATATTAGCTGCTTCTCTTATTAGTATATCTCAGGTAAAGTTTTTACTTCATATCCGTGATGTTTATTTGCATCTGTTCTGTTAGGCGACGAGAGAGAGAGAGAGAGAGAGAGAGAAGAGAGAGAGAGAGAGAGAGAGAGAGAGAGAGAGAGAGGAGAGAGAGAGGAGAGAGGGAGAGAGAGAGAGAAAGAGAGAGAGAGAGACGACGAGAGAGAAGAGAGAGAGAGAGAGAGAGAGAGAGAGAGAGAGAGAGAGGAGAGAGAGAGGGGGAGGGGAGGAGGGAACGAGAGGGAGAGACCGAGAGAAAGAGAGATAGGGAGGGGAAGGGAGAAAGAGAGAGAGACAGACAGACAGACAGACACAGACAGACACAGACAGAGAGAGTAGAGAGACAGAAACAGACAAACTGCCTGACAAACAGACACAGATAAAAAAAAAAAGAGAGAGAAGGAAAAAGGAAAAAAGAACCGCAAAAAAAACGTCCCGATAAATACCAAGCGTGTTCCCCGAACGCCAAGCCACGTGACCCGATTCCCCGAAAGCCCGCTTGCGTCGGGGAAGGCTTCCGAAGGGCCGACTCTCCGGCGCGAAGGGGACGTTCTTCGGGGCTTTCAAGTCCCGCTAAGACTTTGTAGGTCGAAGGGACAGATTTTTCAGGATTTTTTTACGGTGGTGGAAATCGGGTGGATTGCGTGGCCGTGTCCTTGTTCCTTATGTTAA